ACAAAGCGGGTAAGGATCGATTGTCCTCAAATGCGAGAGCGCACACGGGGGGGCGGCATTCTGTTGCCCACACGAGAGCGTGTTGCCGACATACAGGACAAGCTGCAAACGAGACGCCTCTGCCGACAGGGACGGTGAGAAGTTGAGGCACACATGCAGAAGCTGATGTACACACCGAGACTGTTGTAGTAAACTGTTCTCTACTATCCTGTCTGTCTTCTCTTACCATACAACTGGGGAACGTAACAGTTTATCTAAGGCTCAGGACACGCGAAGGAGGTGAGGGTGCGTAAGAGCTTGGAACTGAACAGCGTTGTTCCTCAGTACTTCGGTCGTGTGTTCTTCGAGCGTATCTTTGGCCTTCAGTCTTCAACAAGCCCCGAAAATCATCGTTCTACTATTCCTAGTAGACTGCCGAGGGCGTAGAGTGTGTGGTAGAGTACCCCGGGGCTTCAGGTTCATTCCGGCACATATAAGAGTAACTTTCCAAGCGCTCTTTTATCCTTGTGCCTGTCTCCTTGTCCCCCGTCATCTGGGACAATGTTACTGTAGGCCACTCATTGTGGCAGACGCTCTTCAGACATGCTCCGACTCTACATTCCTGGCCCCTTGAATTACTAATAGATTCCTTGAGATAATACACTGGTAATTATCTTGGACCCAACCTACCCAGGATCTATGTGGTGGACAGCCAACATTGCTACCCGACTTTCTTGTTCAATGCTCACTTCCTCAAGGTCATAAAATTCCACAGGGCGCGCTTTCTGACTTCCTGACCTGCAGACTCTTGACCGGCTTTCACTCGCGCATACACGCGCTTCCAGATGGTCACGGCTGCCACTTTACTACGCCATCCCTTGGTCGACGCGGCATTGGCCACGATACACGTCACAAGCTCGGATAAAGCAACGCACCAATTATGCACCACTTGAACTTGAATTTGCCATCGCTGTCTCACTCACTCTCGAACCTGACTGGGCGCAGTCAAATTTAACGTTGGCTTCACCAGTGGTTACTGCCACTTGAGACAGCCACTGGAAGTTCTGTACATAATAAAGCCCTCCCATGGGTGCCTTTTTTCCAAGAACTTTAGATTTAGCCTGGTGAGTCTAGTGATTTGGTACAACCACTGCTCAGACACTATATGTCGGCCAAGAGCCGGTCCTTGCATCATTTACACTTAGAACTGCCCCTGGGTTTTTCCCTTTTTCACTTGAGAATATGACCACGCAGATCAGTTTTCGCCCTTAATTATTATTCCTGTCGCAGTTCCCAATCCATTCGGGGTTTCTGAACCTCATTAGTCGCTCCGCACTTTGAGTGTGATTAATTTTCCCTTTTAGTCACGTCGCCGGTCGACACTATGGGCCGATTCGTCGCCTCCAGTGGGTCATTCGTGAGGCCGGCCGATCAGCAGGAACTTCTGAAAGCCTGATTTCACTGTCTATGGACGGTCGCGTCTCTGAATGGTTCACCTTAAAGGGCTTCGACTGCGCCGGTGAGTTCTCTGCTATTTTTGCTCATTGTATGTTAAAGCGTCACTGGTTTAGGCGCTAGTGAAGGTAATATTTCAGATAGCGCTTTCCAGGCACCCTGTTGACTGTATTCAAGTACCGAAATTTGCATTTTAAGTTCGGCCATCTGACTCGGACATAAACCACTGGTCAGTTGCTTACTGCCCAGTCCTATAAATGATGAATAAGGGTTGTGTCCTAGACAGGACACAGAGTAGGTACGCCCTGCCCAAGCAATAGATGTGGCTGTGTACATAATTCCAGGAAGGGTAAATATTCATTTTGCCTTAACCCTAAACACAGACCTAAACCGTAGCCCTAATCTTAACGCTATAGTTAACAAGAACACAAAACTTAACTCTTGATCATACGTCTAACTCTGATCCTAGTCCTAACCTGAATTATAATCCAAAACGGAACCCTAATCCTCATCTTAATTCTAAACCCGATTTCCCAGAAATTTGGAACAGAGTCACATGTATTGCGGACGTTGCATATCCTCACGAATTGAGGCAAATGTTCGCATCCCAGGTACGTGTTTAGATAGAGAAGTAGAAGTTGTTGCGATCACCGGAATCATACTTTTACTTGTCTGAGCTTTTGGGCTCGTTCTAGAGTCCATCGTCAGACATAAAAGGTCTACACGAAAAACAAGCAACAGTTATAGGACGCAGGGACCAATCAACCGTTTTTGGGGAAGGGGGGGGAACAGTCAACTGATAGTACCATCGTTCCGGAGCTGCCTGCGCAGCGCGATGTATACCGGCGCCAGATCGATAAATCGATTGACTGAGTTCTCATCCGAGGCCCAGGCTGTTTTGTTGCCAGCGTGCGCGATTACTCTCGCAGCTGCGAAATTAAATTCGTGACCGGTCTCGTAGGTATGGGCGGCCACTTGCGATGATGCGTCACCCCGTTGTACCACCCGCTTATGTTCGCGTATGCGCGAACCAAGCTTACGCCCTGTCTGTCCTGTATAGTTTCAGGGACAATTTTGACATGGTATGCGATACACGACGCCTGACTGCTCACTGGGAATTTAGACGGTCCTTGATCCGCATGATTCGGCTGCGCATGGTAGCCTTGGAATGGTGTGCAATTCCAACGCCTAGTCCCGCAGCAATGCGTTCGGTCGCTTCCGA